TATCAATTCAGTTATTTTGACAATTCAATTTATTAATCTATTAATAAATTTATAATAATTAAACTAAGTTAAATCTTAATAATTCTATTACATTTTTAGATAAAAAAATATATTTTATAAGAATTATTTTTTAAAAAAATAATTGAGATAATTACAATAAATAAAATTTTATTATTATTATATTTTAAAAAAGGAGAGAGATCGGGAAGGGCGGCGAAGGGCAGTTTGCTTTGCCGCGTATTATTAATTAATTTAAGTTTAAAGGTCAAAACATTTGCCTAAAGTCAAACATAACAAAGCTTCATAATTAAATAATAGCTGCACGTACACACATATATGTATATATGTATACTTTAATTAATTTATTTTTCTTCTTATAAATCTAATCTATGTAATCATCCACTGTTATTGGACCGACCATGTCGAGACCGAAATTAAAGTGCTATACACACACACACACATAATGTGTATGCATGCATATGTATGTAAGGAAAGGGTCAGAGTTTATTTGTCAATTCAATCAAGCTCGAACTGGATTCAATTTTTTCTTCCTCCTCCAGCTATAAAACACGTTAAGACTCATTAGTGATGTCGGGGATGGATCGCCATGATCAGGGACCATGAACACATTTAATTAATTAAATTCAAAAATTACCATCAATTTTGTTACACACTTGTAATCAATCGGTCATTTTCATTTTTTTTTTTTTTCCTTCACCGATTTTCTTTCACGTCCGACTTCATTTTCTGCATGCGTGCGTATACCCACATATATATATATGACAATATTTCATTACTTATAACATAATTTTTAATAAAAATATATAATTTAACCCAAATTTATATTTTTACAGATAATAGGTAATTTTTTTGTAAATAATATTTATATCTATTAAATTTTTAAATAATAAATAATTTAAATTTTAATTGAAGCAAATGAATTTGCATGTTAATTTTGAGTCAACAGACTTGGAGAACAGTGGACCAACAAGGGCAAGTGGTGTCCGTTGTCAACTCGTGTTCATACAATAAATAAGCCCAGCCACGCAAGTACTTCCACCACGAGAAAGCCGAAGCCAAAAAAAAAAACGACTTACAGAAATAGCTACAATATAAAATGTATGTATATGTATACGTGTATGTATGTACGCATGTTAGTTGCTGGCATATTTGTTTCTTGTTATATATGTGGGAATTTTATGACTGCTGGGCCTACCCAAGTTTAATTCCTCTGCCAAATTCAACCCCAGTTTGGTTTTATCAATTATTCACCTCTGATTAATACTCTCGTAATATTTAATATATTAATAAAATTATTAAGTTTCATTTAAATAAATTATTACGTATTTTAATAAAAAAAAATTAATTATTCGACAATTAAATATAATTATATATTAATAGTAAGTAATTATTCGAAAATTAAATTTTATCTTGCCCATTAATTAATTGTTTGTCACAAATTAAATTAATACCTTAATTACGAATTAGTTCTGTGACTATCAATTACACCTTTTATCTGTCCCCCTGCTACCTCTCGCATGACCCGGTTTTGCCAGCAGCCAAACAACTATTTATAATTGTTTCCGTTTCTTAACGTCTCAACTGTTATCTACGCATTGGAATTGTCTTGAAACTTTATTGATTGAGAAATTGACAACAGTAATCATAAAACAGAGGACTCCGTTACTTAACAACTAAAACATACAGTTAAGATATTGCATGTGTGCGTGCCACTAGCCAAGCAGTTGGACATATTTTATACATGTATATGTATATGTATGCATATCCCGAAATAAATGAACGTATTTTATTTTTAATTTATTATAATTATTTAATTAAAAAAATTTAATATGTTATAAAATATTTTTTTATTATTTAAATTCATTAAAATTTAATTATTATAATTTTATTAATATATTAACGAGTTAACTTATTAATTACATTAAATTAAATATTATATGATTTATTATTATTAACTAATAATATATTATTATTAGGAAAATTCAAATTTATTAAATTGAAATAGAATATAAACTGATAATATATAATTTACATATATATATATATGTGTGTGTGTGTGTGTAGGTAGACATATAGATGTATTATTGGGATTTGGTTTTTGGGTTATTTTTCAAATGCTTGTTTTTCTTGTATTATACAGGGATTTGTCATGAGGACCTACCAGGCATCGTTGGCTTTTTGAACATAACAGGGATTTTGACTAATTTGTGTTTGACATCTAATTTATATTTATGCAAATATAATTCAAATTATATTATAATTAATCATGATTAGTTTTCGTTATGTCTTCGTATAAATGTTAACGAGTAATATTTGAGGATGCCTTACATAGATTATATCAACTTCAATTATATAATGATATTTAATAATGAATTAATATTTACAAATTTCCAATTATAATTATTAATTATATGTTAAGAAAATAATATATATATATATATATATGTAGACATTGTTAAGCCTTGTTCTTCCTTTGTTTCATCATCCTCCATTCCAATAAATAAATAAACTTATTAACTACAAATAATAAAAACCACAATGTGAAAAAATATTAAAAAAGGAAAAAATTAAAACCTATCCAATTCCAAGCATCTTCGGTTAGTATCAATGCTGAAAAATTGAATGTTAACCTTTATATACAACTTTTTTGTAATAAAAATTTTAATTCATTTAATAAATGTCAAATAACCCATCTCTAATATCATCTTAAAATTAATATAATTAAATTAACCAATAAAATATGTAATTTTACTAATTTATATATATATATATATAGATAGTTTTTTTCTTTAACAAGAATAAAAATTAATTAATTAATTACTAAAATTGTCCCCTATCTGCCACGTAAACCTGCCAAAATGATGTCTAGTAACTTCGGGGAAAGAAGACAAAATAAGACCCAGTCTACAGAAACCATTATTTGTTAATTAGTAATTTTCAACAAGCGCGACGCTGACTTTCAACTCTTACCCCCACTTTTCTTCTTTCAGTGAAAAAAATGGGACAAAGTGGAAATTGCATGCAACTCACGGCATATTCTCATATATAATATTCAATGTATGTACACTCTAGTGCCACGCCTGTAAATAATCTTCAACTACAAGTCCATTATTGTATTCTCCATTGTATATATACCCACGTTAGCTTCAGTTTCCATACATTTTCTCAATTTGTAACTAGGAAATATATCATACCTGCCTTGACTGAAACTCGTCTAAAAAAAAAAAATGTACTCCATCAAGTTTTCATTTTTCAAGAACCTTTTCTTCTTCTTCTTCCGCCTTTTATTCAGAAACCCAAAGGGTACAACTCTTCACAGATATGCATCTCTGTCAAAATACCAGAAATATATCTATAACCCATCTGATCTCCTCCGCAGAACCGACCCGTCAACTCAGACTCTGATGTTTAGTGTGGAAGGAGCTCTTCTTAAATCATCTTCTTTGTTTCCTTACTTCATGCTGGTGGCGTTTGAAGCTGGAGGACTGATACGGGCTTTTCTGCTCTTTGTTTTGTATCCTTTGATCTGTTTGGTTGGAGAGGAAATGGGGTTGAAGATAATGGTTATGGTGTGCTTCTGCGGGATTAAGAAGAAGAGTTTCATAGTGGGAAGGAGTGTTTTGCCAAAGTTCTTGTTGGAGGATGTTGGGATGGAGATGTTTGAGGTGGTGAAGAAAGGAGGGAAGAGAGTGATTGGTGTAAGTAAAATGCCTGGGGTTATGGTTGAGAGTTTTCTGAAAGATTATCTGGAGATTGATCTGGTTGTGGGAAGAGAGCTTAAGGTCATCAATGGCTACTTTGTTGGAATCATGGAGGATAAAAAGGACTTGGTTGCTTTAGACGAGATTCTTGAAGCAAACAAGGATGGTCATGTTGTTGGCATCTCTTCCTTTGACAAATCCTTAGACAACCTCCATTTCTTCTCTCGCTGCAAGGTAAGTTTTTTAAGAATTTTTTTAACGTAAATTTTAATAAATAACAATAAAATAAATTTTATAATGATGAAATACCATGATTAATATTGCAGAAAATATATATGACCAAAAAAATAAGCCAGTCAATTATGGGAACTTCTACATAGATCTTTCTCACTTTTTCTGTTCATGAATTGGATATAATATGATATATATATGTAAACTAATAAGCACTTTTTGGTTATTCTTTAAAAGCATTGATAATTTATCATGTTTCTTGTGGATGGTCTTTTTTAAATTATTTTTACATATACCCAGTGAGAATATATATGTGTATATGTATAGATATATTTAAAGTGAAACAGTGATAATTAATGATGGGTTTTATTACAATTTGATCCCTGCACAGGACATTTACTTGGTGAGAAAATCAGACAAGAGAAGCTGGCAACACCTACCCAGAGAAAAATACCCTAACCCACTTATTTTCCACGACGGAAGACTCGCCGTCAAGCCGACCCCCTCCGCCATTCTCGCCATTTTCATGTGGATCCCATTTGGCCTCCCTCTCTCCATTTTCAGAATCTTCATCGGTTTGACTTTCCCATATGATCTCGCCCTCCCCATCTGCTCTTACTCTGGTCTGCGTCTCACCGTATCAAAACCCATCACTCCCCCCGCCTCAAAAAACAACACTAAAGGCCTTCTCTACGTCTGTAACCACAGAACCCTTGTGGACCCTCTTTATCTCTGCTTTGCATTAAAGAAAAATCTAACCGCGGTCACCTACAGTCTCAGTAGATTATCCGAGATCTTGGCTCCAATCAGGACCGTCCGATTAACCCGTAACCGGGTTGATGACGGCAAGATGATGGAAAGACTACTCAATCAAGGGGACCTCGTCGTTTGCCCGGAAGGGACGACATGCAGAGAACCATATCTATTGAGATTCAGTCCGTTGTTTGCTGAAATGGGTGATGACATTGTCCCTGTCGCCATGAACACTGACGTCAGCATTTTCCATGGAACTACCGCCAGTGGACTCAAATGCTTTGACCCTTTCTTCTTCTTCATGAACCCTAGACCCATCTACACCGTCCAGTTGCTTGACCGTGTGTCAGGGTCGTCGAAAAGTCATGATGACGGACAGTCGAGATTTGATGTTGCGAATTTCGTGCAGAGTGAAATTGCCAGAGAATTAGGGTTTGAATGCACCAAGCTGACAAGGAGAGATAAATACCTGGTTTTAGCAGGGAACAATGGAGTAACATCTAATGCCAGTCACAAGCAACAATAATAATGATTCTCCATTGAAGTGTCGTGAAAGATTTCATGATCATCATCAACAGCTAGCTTGAATATTAGTTAACTAAACTTGTTTATAATATATATAATTATATATATATATAGATGGTTTCCATGAATGTTAATATGCGTGGGTTTTCAAGTTTTTGCTGGGTTAGCTAAGATTTGTCTCTAAATTTGTTCATTATTTTTTTTTTGGTACGCTAAATTTATTGTTTGCGTGAATATTTTGTTGAGTGATTAGAGGTTGTTCAAGAAACTTAGAGAAGATGATTACTGTTAATCCTTCTTAATTTGTATAATTCCAGTTTCTCTCTTCTTCCCTAATTATGGGATTGTGAGGGTGATTATTTATTAATTGTAATTAATACGATCGCTAAATGTATATATAACTGTTAAGTATTATCGAGCTACCTTCCATAATCAACAAGATGAAGTTCATTTTGGATCAACAAAACTTATCTTTATCAAGAATATGATTTTCTTTACCATATATATATATATATATATATAAAATAGCCCTAATAAATTGCAAACACTAACTTTTTAATAACTAATAAAATTAAAATGTTATTGTTATTCAAAATATTTATTTTGTCTTATACTCACCCATATTCTAAAAATATAAAAATAAAATTTGAATCAAAATTAAATTATTAAAAATACCCCGAAAAATACACAAATAGAAATGAAACATATTTTCACTCTATATCAATGTGTATTAAAATAAACTACACACACAGACACACGAAAATTAGACCTAGCGAGAAATAATTTGACATATTTTTACTCTATGATTTAGCTTCATATTAAAGTAGCGAGAACTATACAACATTATGTAATATTTTTATTTAATATATAAGATAATGTTATTTAACATATAACTTTATTTTTATAATTTTACAAAAATTAAAATTTTTAAAAAATATTTGAAGTGTTTACACTGTTTAGTTATATCTTGAATATTGAATAAACTGAAATTTTGCAACATGTCGATTTATATCTGTGTAGGTACAGCTGTTTCAACTGTACCTTATAACAATCCCAATTAATGCAATTTTATTTATAACTAACATGCAGATTGTAATTAATGTTTATCATTATTCAAAAATTAATTATTTAATAATTTTAATTTAATTACTAATGCGATAATTAACGTAAAAACTAAAATGTTTAGTTAAAAATTAGTTGTGAAAATTAAAGGAGACTGACTAATGCATTAATGGGATTCAAGAACACTTTGTCTTGTCTGGTTCCAACACAAAACCAACTGCTTTTCTGATGGCCCAAATCTATAAACACTCGTTGCTTCTCAAAAAATCTTTGTAAGTTCCATCAGATCTTTGAAAAAACTTGTAGTGCTCGTTTTTTGGAATTATAATATTAAGTTTTTCAAAATTTTGTGATGAATAAATTTTATTATTCTTAGATATTTATGTTGTAAAATCATCACATATACTACGATCTTGAAGGCCGTCTTTCTAAGGTAAAGTTTTTGAAAGTCTTTATGAACGCTATGAAAAGTTAATTGGGTTTCAGAAAAGTAATATGAAATTATTGTTGTTGAATTTCTGTTGATTCTCGTCTGCTTGATTCATAAAAATTGTAATCCGGTGATAAATTATTTAACTAAGAAAATTATGAACACTCCTTAAATATTGCAGAAATATTTAATAATTAGTATATAATTATTTTGAATGGTTATTATAAATGATTAGAGTGTATTATTTGAGATATATAAAAAACTCAACCGTAACTATCCGTGTATAAGACACGAAGTATTGTAAAGTAGCCGGAGAATCCGCCATTTTTACTACCATAATAGTGTAGTTCATCGCCCTTGTTTTTTTACTCTTTAAGATAAGAAGGGATTCCACTTAGAAAAGAAAACGTTTCATGCTAATAGATTCGGATTTTTAACTACGGGTTCTAAACTATGAAAGATTTTATCAATTAATATTATATAGAAGAAATCAATTATGTACACTAATATAGTTAAATTTGCTATTCATAGATAAACTATACCATATTTTAATTAATTTCGCTCTTAATTGCTTGCATCTCTATTAATGATTTGATTAATTTCACCTAAATGTTATGAATTATTATTCAAAAATTTTAAAGTTATAGTTTTTTAACATAACATCTCAAACTTAATTGGATTAAAAGGAAAAAAAAAAAAAACACTCAGAAACAAACTCTTGTATTTTAATAATATGACCTTTTAGAGCTCGAAATATTACGAGCTCTTTTCTATAATTTTATATAAAAATTTTCGTAATTTAAATTTTTAGTTATTATAATATCGTCTCGTGAATCTTGTAAATTCAAGATAAAAAAAAACGATAAAATTATTTTCTAATTTAATGATATGATCTTTTAAGATTTCAAATACCGTGGTCTATTTTATTGAACCTATTACAATATTATCATATAAATTTTGTCAATTTACATGAATTCATAAGGAAAATCTTATTTAAATGGACTCTTTTCAATGTGTTTCAAATTTATTATTTCATAATATTCTCACGCTTCCAATTCAATTTTGTAGGCTTGAGCTTGAGCACAATTTTCATGGATTCATTATTTATATATTCTTTCTTAAATCGGACCGGGTACGATATCAAATTTATTGGGCCGGGTCATGAAGACCCGGAACCACCAGATGAAAAAACACGGGAGAGGTTGTCGTTTCTCAAGGTCCCAAAATAAAAAAAAAAAAAAAAAAAATTGGCTCAGGACTAATTAGAAATTCTCGAAAGTTCTTTCCATCTTCCCCCAAAACCACAAGTACTATATAACGAACGTAACCTAACATCGTTTCCTTTTCACCTCTTCCTTTCTAGGGTTTCGACTTTCTGGTTGTGAACAAATTCAGTCTACAACTCTAATTCATTTTCATCACAGTTTCTTTCTTTGGATCTTATTACCCTAGCTTCTGTCCGGTTGAGTTTTCTGCGGTGTTGGTGCGGTTAAGGGCTTGGGATGGGTACGGAGAGGAAGAGGAAGGTCAGCTTGTTTGACGTTGTGGATGAGACGTCAGTCACCGGGAAGGTCACCAAATTGAACGGTGGGGCGGCGATGAACAGCAACAGCGTTGGCGGCAACCTGAGTAGTCTTGTAAACCGGTGGAATGGGAGGCCATACTCGCAGAGGTATTATGAAATACTGGAGAAGAGAAAGACTCTCCCTGTTTGGCAGCAGAAAGAGGAGTTCTTCCAGGTTCTTAAGGCCAGCCAGACTATAATACTGGTTGGTGAGACTGGTAGTGGTAAAACCACTCAGGTTAGTTTTCATTACTATTTCTCCACTATGTATTCTACCTCATTTTAAATGCATATATATATATATGTTTGTAAATTAGTGTCTATTGGATGTTTAAGATTCTTCCTTTTGTTTTTTTTTAATGTATATTTTCTTTTTTTGGCATGAGATAGGATGTTATAGGAACTAATAAGTAATTGACAGCTTCGGTATTTTCACTAGATAGTCATTTTAAATGAAGGAACCAAGGAAGTTCAGAATCTTTGAAACAATTGGAGTAGCCCGGGTGTTTGTTAGATTCTCCTTTTTTTTTGTCCTCCTTTCTGTCGGGTGTTTTATGGTGTAACTTCTGGTCCAAAAAATAATATGAGAGGAAGATACATTGTTCTTAATACCTTTATCTTCCTGAATCAATTATTGCACGTGCAAATATGAAAAATCCTTTCTTTGGCATTTTCTCTTAGGTGGGAGACAAAGCTGTATGTTACTGAGTTTTTTGTCAACATAAATAACTAAATTTTTTCTCAACATAAATAACTAAGTAATGCCTTAGGATATCTTTTTTGAAATATGTTCTGTGTTACTGGGAATGTTGAAGCTTGTGGAGTGTGTGGTGGCTTGTGTTTTTGCCCACTGATGTTCTAGCATGTAATTTTAGGTTTAGGAAAGTGGGGTGTTAAAATTTTGTGTTATATGCTTGTAAGATATTCTGGATTTGTCTTTATACCAAGAAGATATTAAATCTTAATCATCATACCTTAGTTGCATTGCATCAAGCTGAAAAGACAGTCAACTCAAGTGTTGGTTTGTGATTGGATAATTTCATTTATATTTTGTGCTAAGGAAGTGTCTGTGGAAATTAGTGATTAATGAGTAACTGTTATTCTCAATAGATTCCCCAGTTTGTTTTGGAAGCTGTCGATATAGAAACCCCAGATAAACGCAGGAAATGGATGGTTGGATGCACACAACCTCGCAGAGTCGCTGCAATGTCTGTTTCTCGACGTGTTGCTGAAGAGATGGATGTAACTATTGGGGAAGAGGTTGGTTATAGCATACGTTTTGAAGACTGCAGCTGTGCTAGAACTGTTTTGAAGTAAGATGATTATTCTAACACAGATATGCTTTTTATTATTTTAAATACTCAACATTTTACTTGTTGCATACACAATCCATATATGCTTGCATATACTCATGCTTTTGTCATCTCTTCTGCCAGGTATCTGACAGATGGTATGCTCTTGCGAGAAGCAATGACAGATCCACTTTTGGAACGCTACAAGGTAATTATTCTCGATGAGGCTCATGAAAGAACTCTAGCTACAGATGTACTTTTTGGTCTTCTCAAAGAAGTGCTGAAAAATAGACCCGATCTGAAGCTAGTTGTAATGAGTGCAACACTTGAGGCTGAGAAATTTCAGGGGTATTTTAATGGTGCACCTCTTTTGAAGGTGCCTGGTAGACTTCACCCTGTCGAGATATTTTACACTTCAGAACCTGAAAGGGACTACCTGGAGTCTGCCATTCGGACTGTCGTGCAGATACATATGTGTGAGCCTCCTGGGGATATTCTTGTTTTCTTAACTGGAGAGGAGGAGATAGAAGATGCATGCCGTAAAATAACAAAAGAAATTGGTAATCTTGGGGATCAGGTGGGGCCTGTGAAAGTTGTGCCCCTTTATTCTACTCTTCCTCCAGCTATGCAACAAAAGATATTTGAACCTGCCCCACCTCCAGTAAAGGAAGACAGTCCTCCTGGAAGGAAGATTGTGGTGTCAACAAACATTGCGGAAACTTCACTAACCATAGATGGAATAGTGTATGTTATTGATCCTGGGTTTTCTAAGCAAAAAGTTTACAATCCCCGAGTCCGTGTTGAATCTTTGTTGGTATCTCCAATATCAAAGGCAAGTGCACACCAGAGAACAGGACGTGCTGGAAGAACTCAACCAGGCAAATGCTTCAGGCTCTACACAGAGAGGAGTTTCCATAATGATCTTCAGCCACAGACATACCCTGAAATATTGCGATCAAACCTTGCAAATACAGTTCTGACCTTGAAGAAACTGGGGATAGATGATTTGGTGCATTTTGATTTTATGGATCCTCCGGCTCCTGAGACATTGATGCGAGCTTTGGAGGTATTGAATTACTTGGGAGCATTGGATGATGATGGGAACCTAACAAAATTGGGTGAAATCATGAGTGAGTTTCCTTTGGATCCACAAATGTCAAAGATGCTCGTCGTCAGTCCTGAATTCAACTGCTCAAATGAGATCCTTTCAATTTCTGCCATGTTATCAGGTATTCTTTTGCAACTTCTCTCTACTTTTTTGTCTGTCTTGTGTCCGGTGGCATAATGTAATTGTCATTGGCTTGCTTCAGTTTGGAATGCATGCCAATTGGTCTTGCATGCACCGATGCACCTGGTGGTGCAGGGTGCTAGTCTACTAGAGGTTTAACTTCTTACATGTGTATGTAAGTACACATGCACATGCATGCAGTTGAGTCTAATGAGTCCAATTAGGTTGTCATCAGCAACTCTCTTGTATGGGTTCCATGCCCCCGGTTGGCATGCACCATAGGATTTCTAAGTGCGTGCTGATGCAGATAGTTGCAGTTTCTCAGTATTCTCTCATGAAGCACATGGTGTCGTCTCGCCTCTATGCATCTGCTGACCTTCCGTGGGCCTCTTCTGTGATAACCCAATTCTTTCTTTAGTACCCAATTGCTTTGTCCGGCCTAGGGAGGCTCAAAAAGCTGCGGACGAAGCGAAAGCTAGGTTTGGGCACATCGATGGAGATCACCTTACGCTCTTAAATGTCTATCATGCTTATAAGCAAAACAGTAAGTATTGTTTTCCTCTTTAGCAGTATGATCACTGAGTACTCTATATGCCATTTGTTTTATAATTCATAATGTTGTCTATGTGGAAATGGTTTGCAGATGAGGACTCATCTTGGTGTTATGAGAATTTTATCAATCATAGGACCATGAAGGCTGCTGATAATGTTAGACAACAGCTGGTACGCATAATGGCCAGGTTTAACCTCAAATTGTGCAGCACTGATTTCAACAGCCGTGACTACTATGTCAATATAAGGAAGGCCATGCTAGCTGGCTATTTCATGCAGGTGGCTCACCTGGAACGCACTGGACACTACTTGACTGTTAAAGACAATCAAGTATGTATAGTTATTTATTATAGTGTTGTAATAACTATTTTACATTTCGGTATAATGCTCTACAATCTGCCTGGCTGAGAAGAGGGTGATATTGTAATCCCCTATTGTAGAAGGGAGGTATAGGGGTTATGTTTAATCATACGTCTTGGCATTGTTTATTTTGCAGGTGGTGCACTTGCATCCTTCAAATTGCCTGGATCACAAGCCAGAGTGGGTCATTTACAATGAGTATGTACTGACTAGTCGAAATTTTATCCGCACAGTGACAGATGTTCGTGGTGAATGGTTAGTTTCCTTTCTCTGTTGATTTTGCTGTTGAGGTTTGTGTTTCTTTTGTTTATTCAGTATACATTGTTCAGATAAATTGAAAGGTTCACACAGTTCATCCTAGATAAACTTAAACATATTTTACTCACAAAATTTGATGTACTCTCACATATTTGTCTTTGTCTAATTGAAAGTAATTATTAACAATTTATAGTAACGGGTTATCTAGGGAGTGAATGAATGTGTGTTGTTGAGGAGGGAAAATAACCGAACAACTTTAGAATATAGGGATGGAATTATTACAAGGAGCTGCAGTATCACTTGTATATATGATATTTGTGCCCATTTTTTATTCTAGATTATCCTCACTGCATAAATGATCTGTTTCTTTCTTGGTGCAGGTTAGTTGATATAGCACCACACTATTATGATTTGATTAACTTCCCCCAGTGTGAGGCCAAGCGTGTACTTGAGAAGCTTTACAAGAAGAGGGAGAGGGAGAGAGAGGAAAGCAAGAATAGAAAGTGAACTATTGCCATTAGTATATTTTAGCTTTACCCCCCAGATTTAAAAAGGATGTTGAATTTTGGAGAGGCAGGTGAAACATTCTCCAGCATACTTTTTTGGTGGAATCTCCAAGTGGGTAAAAGAATATAGATGGAGTATTTATTGTACCATTTTTTAGACTAGGTGCAGTGACCTTCCTTAAGTACTATATTAAGCTGTTGGTTTGTTTTTCTGAATGTGATGTTCTTGTCAATTTATTTTGGTTAATATTTAGAGGAAATTTGTTGGTTGGTTCTACATGCATCAAATATTAGCTAATAGCCATATTTGTTGGATTCTTAGGATGTGTTAAACAATTTTCTTTTTTTTTTAAAGTGTATATTTGTTCCAGTGTTTCAGTACCATTTTGTATCAGGAGAGTTGAACATATGTACTTATATAAAACATATGTATTTATATGTTGAAATCGAACCTCCATCAGATGAAAATATATTATAGCTAGACAAATGACTTGATTAATTTCTCACTTGAAGAATCTTCAACCCAGCTGCCTGCTTTTTGCTTTTTGACACGATTCTTTCTCATCATGTCTTTCAATTTAGTTAAAGTGCTCCATGCGCCTGTTTCACCATAAATCCTTGAGAGAACAGAATATATTGCAGGGTGATCATTTTTCAGCTTAGATATTCCCTCTGCAGCCAACTGGCCAAGTTCCAAACACGAATGTAATCCGCAAGCTCCAAGCAATGCTCCCCAAATGACTGCATCGGGTTTGAAAGGCATTCCCCGAATCAATTTCTCCGCTTTCTCTAGTTTGCCTGCCCGCCCATAGAGGTCCACCATACAAGCATAATGTTCCTTTTCTGGTAGGACACCATACTTCGTTTTCATGGCCGTGAACTGCCTTTCACCTTCTTTCACCAATCCAGCATGGTCACAGGCAGACAACACATTGACAATTGTCACCTTATCCGGCCTCAAACCACTCTTTATCATCTCCTTGAATATATCCAATGCTATTGTTCCAAGTCCGTGCCTAGCACAACCTCCGATAATTGAATTCCATGACACCAAATTCTTCATTGGCATGGACTCAAAAATGCAAAATGCAGCATTGATATCCCCACATTTAGCATACATGTCCACAAGCGACGTTGACAAAATCACATCGCTTGGAACAACAAGGTTAACAAGATTTCCATGAACTTGTTTACCCACGAGAAGGGAAGCCGATCTCGCACAAGCATCTAAAACACACGAAAATGTAAAATGATTTGGCGTAGTCCCGGACTCTATCATCAACTGGAACAGCTTCAACCCAGCTAAAAACTTCCCATTCTGCACATACCCACTGATCATCACAGTCCAAGAAACCACATTCTTTTCGCTTATGTCGTTAAAAACAGACCGAGCTCTACTCATTTCCTTATTTAAGATATAACCATTAACCATTATAGTCCAAGTAACATCATCTTTCTCGGGCATGGCATCAAAAACTCTGTGCGCATAACTCGTACAACCCAAATCCATATATCCCGAAACCAGAACGTTCCACGACGCAACATTCTTCACTAATATCTCATCAAACACTCTCCTCAATCCACCTCGATCCTTCAAAATCGTGTACCCCTTCATTAGGGCAGAACCAACAAACGTACCCAAATTAAGCCCTAGACAAACTGAAAGTGCGTGAAATTGCGACACCAAAACATCAAACACAGAGCCCAATACAGCAGTAACAACTGTTGATATAGTGTACTCCGTGGGTCTTAATCCGGATCTTTGCATTTCTAGAAAACATTGATGAACTGCAAGTGGGTTTTTGGTCTTGTTCATGCCGGATAACATGGTGTTCCATGAAACCGTGTCTTTATGGGGCATTCTATCGAACAGTTCGTGGGCGTTCTGGAATTGGTTGTTCTGAACGTAGGCGTTGATCATTTGATTCCAGGTGGTGGTGTTTTGGGATGTTGGGTTTTGATCGAAGAGCTTCCGCGCTTCAGTCAAGCGGTTGGTTTGGATGTGAGCGTTGATCAGGCTAGTTAGATTGGCTGTAGATAGCGTGCAAATGCGGCGGGAAAATGGTAGATTGAAAATCAGGGCTCTGTAAATCGTATTTGCTAAAATTTTCCTGCTTCGGCTTGGCATATGCAGGCCGCGAACGATGAACCATCTGTACAACATGGTTGGATTCCAAAGCTGATGGATTTAACAAGATTGCTCCAATCCTCGCTAAAAGAATTAGTCTTTAGTCTATTTTAGTTCAGTTCTGGTTTGGGCGTAAAATACAAAAATAAAGAAGAGTATTTAGTTTTAATTTTATTTTCTATTAATTTTTAGTTAATAAATTAAAAAATATAATGATCCATTTCAGTTTGGATCTACTAAACTTATAAAACTGATTCAGTCTGATTTGTTCCAAAATTCAAACAGTCTGATTCCTGTCAACATTTTTACCTTTCAAAGTTTTCAATTTTGGTTCAATTTGATCAATTCCAGACTGATCGAATAACCTTACATATTTATAAAGTAGATGACCGAGCCCGATTTAAATTTTTGGTTTGTGCAGATCTTGATTGCTTACAACAATCATCTTGAAATCGAATCATTCTCTTAAAAACAAATCTACCCCGAAGTGAATATTTAATTTATATAGAAATACACAATGCATCACAGCTACATACTACCCTGTAACAACAAGAGCTGATTCATCCTTATTTATATGTTCCTCAACTGACTCGGAATGCTCATAGCCTCCAACTTTAGTATTTTCCGACGGTCAGTTTCCGATAAAGTGCATCGATCTCGGCCTGTATGATATTACATTATGAGATTAACTGTTGAAGAAAAATCAATGAAGACAGCAAGGCAAGTCAATTCACCTGATAATATTTCAACATCTTCGGTCTTCTTTTCTTCATTGTTGCAGTCACTAAATCTTTTTCCATGTCGAATGGATTTGGGTCCAATACCACACCTCTTATGTACTCAAAGCCTCGGAGCTATTTTTTTTTTTCGCAGGGCATTTTGTAAATTCAGTAAAGAGACAAGTTCAGTTTAGCTTTATTATTTAACATGTTGTCATAACTAGAAATCTAATCCTGGTTTCTTTTTGTGTTTTGTTTTACGTCAAATTCTTTTTCATGCACAGGCAGATTTTTACCTTGTTCCTCTCAGCGGTAGATTTTAGCTCTTTGAGGACATAATCTTGTAGTTGATCAAGAGAACAAAGATCAGAGAAAGAGCCCATGTGACCATTGACATACGCCCACTGCTTGGTATTTTCGACATGGGGCACTACT